GCACTGACCTACCCTGTCTGTCATTCTTCAACGGCCTCCTTAAATGGCCCAGGCTGGGTTCCAACTTGCAATCCTCCTGCTTTGCCCTGAGCGCTGGCATGACGGTGCACCAACATGGCAGCGACCTATCTTGGGGCTCTGCAGGGGACAGCCCAGGTGGCTCCCAGGTTTTCCTGGCTGTGAAGTTCTGCTCACCTGCTTCCTGGTGCCCCTGTGGGGGGCGGCTGCATGGCCGTGTGCCTGTGAGCCACACGAGGCCTCCAGCACCTTCACGTTCTCCTCCCTGGCCACCAGCACAATTCCAAAGCCCGTGTCCTCTGGCTGCGTGCACAGGAGTGGCCTCAGCAAAGAGCCATGGGTTTTTGTTATTGTTGTTTTTTTTTTTTTTTGAGACAGGCTCTCGCTATGCAGCTTAGGCTGGCCTTAAGCTCACTTGCGGGGGCAGGCTGGCTTCTAACTTGTAATGATCCTCCTGCCTCAGCCTCCTGAGTGCTGGGATTACAGGCGCACACCACTGTGCCCAGCAGAAGGGCTATGTTGCTGGCTCCCTTGTTCCCTCAGGTGGGTGCCGTGTGCCCATGCTGGATGGAGCTGGGCCCGTGCTCGTGCCAGGCAAGGCTGCACCTCTGGGCTGTGCTCGGCCCAGGAGCTTGCCGCACAGTGTGCTGCGCTGTGTGTGGGCTGCATTTTGAGGCAGGTCTTTTTTTTTTTTTTCCTGGAACCGGGGATTGAACTCAGGCTCTTGCGCTTGCCAGGGAAGCGCTTATTCTACTGAGCCATTCCCCAGCTCCTAATTTCCTTTTTAAAACCACCCTAAATGTGCAGTACAGGCCTTGCCTGCTGGGCCCTCGTGAGCCTCGTCCTGTGCAGTAACCTGCATGCGCGGCGGGTGTGGCAGGCACGCGTGGCGATGGGCACGGCTATCTCCATGAGCCCACAGAAGATCACCTGTGGAGCCGAGGGCCATGGCAGACCCTCTGAGGGCGTGACCGCGCTGGGATGGTAACACCTGAAGCGGCTGGCCCTGCGCAGGCTGTGAGGGCCGGGCCTGGGCCGTGGCCCACCCCAAGGCCCACGTTAACGAGGAGCACAAGCGCCCATGCTGAGGCCCAGCGTGATCTCCGTGTTCCCGCAGACACGTCAGAGGGTGGCGCTGGGAACAGAGGCCTCACTCCGGACCGGATGGGAAGCATGCCCGGGCTCAGGGACCTTGGCCCCACCACTGTAGGAGGCACCCGGGCTGTTTTTAGTTCAGCAGTTTTCTTTCTTTCTTTGAGACTTGGCCTCACTATGCGGCTCAGGCTGGCCTTGAACTCCGTGCCCCTCCCGAGCCTCAGCCTAGGCGTTGCTCCTAAGCACTCTGATTGGTCATCTGTTAAAGCAGCGACAAAAACCCCAGCGAAACCCCAGCCCCGAAGAATCAAGGTGCTCACCCAAACCCAAATACCCCGCCAGGGCACAGCACTTGCAGTGCCCTGTGGGCTGAGCCCTGTCTGTCACCTGGGCTGTGTGAAGCCCGGTCTCCGCTGTGACCCCAGCCTTCCCCACGATGTGGCTTCCCCACAATGCGGCTGCCATCTGTGAGCCCCAAAGCTTGCCCTGCTTCCGGGACTCTGTCTTGGTTACTCTTCTCCCCTTGCTGGGACAGATAAAATGAAAGGTTTATTTAGCTTGCAGTTAATGGAGGTTTCAGTCCATACTCTGCCGGCTCCAAGGCAGGGTGGCACATACAGATCAACTGTTCTCAGCAAAAAGCCAGCGAGCAAAGGGAGTGGCGAATAGCGGCAGCCCTGGCAGCTAGCTAGCCTCTCTCCCCTCCTTACATTGTAATGCAAATTACCTGCCCCAGGGAGGGTGCAGCATCCACACCCACTGTAATCAACTATGGGACTCCAGAACCTGCCCAGGAAGGCACCCTTTTAAACCAAATACTAGTTATTCTCGTTGTCGTTGCATTGTAATCGAGGCATAACTTTGATGCATCAAAGTATTATATGCTAATATGCTTTATCTTATTTTGATGATATATATTATTATTATTTTTTTTTTTTTTTTTTTGGCGGAACTGGGAATTGAACTCAATCCTTGCACTTGCCAGGGAAGTGCTTATTCCACTGAGCCATCTCCCTGGCCCCTTAACGCATCCCTTTATTTGGGGGACGGGGATGGGGGTGGGGGCCTGCCCCTTAGCTCAGTTCTTTAAGTGGCTGCTTCAACAAAGCAATCAGGCTCAGGTTGCTGTGGCTGATTCCCACAACTCAAGCCAGCCAAACCTGCCCTGAAGGCATTCGGAGAAAAAAAAAATCCTTCCGTTATTTGGGGGACACGGTAACAGGAATTGAACTCAGGACCGCACTTGCCAGGCAGGCACTGTGCTGCTGAGCTAGATCACTGGCCCTGCCCTGTTCCTTTTTAAAAACTTTATTGTGGGGCAGGGTCTCACTAGGTTGCCCATGCTGGGCTTGAACTCATGACTCTCCTTCCTTGGCCTCCAAGTACGAGGGCCTCTGTCCAGGACAAGACACAGGTCATACCTCAGGACACGGGTCCTCGCTCCTTTCTCTGCGTTCAAAGGCTAAGGTCACAGGGCCCAGGACACCTGTTTTCCTGTGGTTCCACAGCCACCCCAAGAGCGGACAGGTGCGGTAGATCCAGGAGAACATTTTACAGATGTGGCCCAGCTGCAACCACCCAGTAGGGCCACCAGGTGGCACCGTTCCACCCTACGGGGCCCCAGAACTAGGAGCTCCAGCAGCGCGGAGCTGGCTTGGACTCTGCTTGGCTACCAAGCTGTCCTGGAGCAGCACCACTGCCCCGCCCCCCCAGCACCTGTGCGGCCCTCCAGCCCACCCAGAGCCCTGGCCACTGAGTGACCTGCAGGACAGGAAACAGGCAGACACAGCGTGCATCAGGCAGCAAACAGTGCCAAGGAAGACATGGGTAGGGACGGGACAGACAGGAGGGCTGGCAGCGAAGTGTGGGTGCAAGGCACAAAGGCACTGGGACAGCGATGTAGTCGTGCGGTCTGCAGTGTGGGCTGGGACCAGTGGTGGAAGGTGACAGCGGCTGGTGGCCAAGGCCCAGGAGAGCAGGCCAGCCCGCAGACGGGTCGCCCTGTGCCCCAGTCCAGCACCTGCAGAGGCACAGTCACCTCATAGACAGCAGTCGCTGGCTCAGAGCCTGAGCACGTCACCTTACTGGGCAGAATGCTCTGCAGATGTAACTGGAGGCCCCGAGGGCTGTGCCACCAGCCCAGGGTGCCCGGGTGAGTCCCAGTTCTAGTGACAACTGTCCTCAGAAGAGGTGGCATATGGGCAGGACAGGTAGGAGCTGGCAGCGGGCAGCCTCTGGAGCAGCAGACAGGAAAAGGGCAAGTTTGAGCCCAGCCCGGGCAATTTAGTGAGAACTTGTCGTCCACACAGAAGGGGGCGGTGCTGACGGCTGCAGACGCAGCTCAGTGGAGGGCTGGGCTCAATCCCCAGCCGCGCACGCACGCACGCACGCACCCTGGGCCTGTCATGGCAGGTCCTACTTCGGGGGTCTGCTTCTGTGCCAGGTCTAATTCTGCATCACTGTGTTCTTGGCCGCCGCCTGGTACTGGGCCCAGGAGCAGGACAGGTCCTGGTACTCAAGCGGAGCCCTGTGCAGCGTGTGGCTGTTGTCCCTGCCCCGGCAGGTCAATAGGCGCAGGACCGGCATGCCCAGCACTAGACTCGGCCACGGCTCCTACCTGATTGCAGAGGTGGTGTGCACGGACGCTCTGCCAGGCAGGGCCTCATGGGCTGTGCAGAGACCACGCAGCCCACCTCAGGCCCACTTCTGAGTGGCGGGAGCAAAGTGGGAAAAGGCAGAACACTGGGAGACCATGTCCTTGGAGGGCTTCCTCACCCCTTCTTCTGTAGCTTCCTCAATCTTGGCGTGCGACACACTCAAGATTATTAAGAGCTGGGAATGGAACCCAGGTCTGCAATCACGTAGGTGACACCAAGCGGAACCCTTCTGAGATGGGGTACCATGGGCAGGGGTGGTGCCCGGGTGATGGGCTAGTGACACACTCCCTGCCTGCCGTGCAGTAAGTCAGAGTCCGGCCCCAGGTGGTTTCATTTTCTGCACTTAGGCCTTTATGTCACACTGCCGAGTTTTCTCCAAAGCCTTGAGGGACTGAATTAGGCCTCCACGTACGGCCCAGACGCACACTGTGCACAGCATGGCGAGTGGACCAGCTCCCGCCACGGGCCATGCACTGTGGTCAGACTGCTGCCCAGCAAACCAATGGCAGCAGGCGTGACCCTGTGCAGGGGACGGTGCCAGGAAGCACTGGGAATGCACGCCACCCGACGGGCAGCTCCGAGCATGAGCAGAGCAGATGCTGTGCAAGGCAGGCAGCTTCAATCTGGGACAAGTTCCTGGAGCAGGCCCTGCCCACCCAGGGAGAGCGCCAGGCAGGGCGGCTGTCCCCCTGCTCCCTCGGGTGATGGGCCAGCCAGCTCGCAGAAGCCTGGATTCCTACAGCAGAATGCAACTAGTGAGTGACCTGGGGTGGGACTCCAGGAGACACGGTGATGCACGTACTTGGCCATTCGAACAAGTGCATGCTTGTCAGAAAACAGGGCAGAAAGGGCTGCAGCTGCAGCTGCCCTTTCCCGCAGGAGCCCAGGAGCTCTCCGCTGAAGTTACAGGCGCCAAATACGCAGACAACTGGTAAGTGAGGAGATACAGAACATTCAACATAAACAAGATAAAATAAAAATAAAACCAGAGAACACTATTTATTTCTGTATATCAAGGCTATAAATAGCATTTAAACACTTAATTTATTTTCAAGTTAAGAAATTATACATTGTTTTAAAGGTCATTGTCTTAGAAGTGTCATCAGTTTCTGCACACTGAGAAGTATATTGCTAGTTCTGGTGAAGCCTACGGCAGCCCCGGACCCCGCCACGCGCCGCCAGGTGCACGGACGGAGGGCCAGGTCCTCCAGCGCGCACACGGGGGGCGCTCCTGCCCGCCGGCCGCTGGTGGAAGCCAAGTCGCCCTGCGACAAGTCGGGTCTCAATAAAGTGCCTACGTGACAGTCCCCCAACATCCCAGCCTGAGTGTGCCAGGGACACTGTCCTCGCTCGTGTCCAAGCAGCAGCTTGGGGTAGAGGGGCCAAGGGCCCGGCCCACGCGTTAGCCCAGGATGCGGCGGTGCGGCCCACCGAGAAGGGTGTGCGCTCATGGACAGATGCAGCCTGCCACTTTGGTTCAAATGACTTTAATAGAAGCTGCAGCAACTGCTCTCCCCAGCTGCCACTCACTGCAGGTGACGTGCACACATGAGGCAGGGACCCCTCTGCCTCCCAGAAGCTCTCCAGGGAGAGACAGACAAGCAAGCGAGCAAGAGCGCCACAGCACCCCACACAGCGACGTCCACGCTCCCAACGCAGGCCGAAATGAGGACACAGCATGCGAGTCCCACCCGGGAAATGGCTCCAAAAGCACAAAGTGACACCGTGTTACCTGCTTTCCAAACCTAGCCGCTTGGGCACAGGCAGCAGGACAAGAGCCTCCAGCTCTACCCGCCAGGCCTGCAAACCACTAGCGCAGAGCAGAGTGGCACTGGCCGACACACTCCTGCAGGCTGTGGTGAGGGCCGCGTGGCTGCAGTCGGGGGACCGCTCGGGTCAGCAGGGCCACAGCTTCATCTTTGGTTAATTTCATGGAGTTGCCACTGGTCTCGAACTGTGCTCTTCTTGGCAAATTACTAATCGGCCACATGGCACATAACAATAGTTACTTAAGTTGTCTGAAAAGCAGTGTTCATCTAAGTATGTGACCATGTGGAATAAAAATCACCTAAAAAATGATGGGGGCAGGAGGCCAGCAAGAGGTGGGCGCCTGGGGAGCCGAGGGTGCAGGGGCACGCGGGCAGTCTGGCCGGTCCAGGGCGCCTGGCACCCCCAGCTCAGCTCAGCTCGAAGCCCGCCGCGCACTCAATGGCGTAGAGCAGCTTGCTGCGCAGGAGCGCCTCATCGTAGAACTCGGGAAGCTTCAGCAGGTTCATACAGGTGCTGGCTGTGGGCAGCCGCTCGAGGTCAGAGCCCCCATTGTGAATGCAGAACGCGGGGTACAGCTCCTAGAAAACAGGGAGCACAAGATGCTGGCATCATGGGAGCACAGAGGTCGCGCAATGCCCTGCCCTCAGCACAGCGGGAGGCGCTCGGCCTGGGGAAGACAGCGCCACCCCACTGGGGCAGGCAACGCTAGGCTGGCCAGGCTCTGAGATTTCTGTGCTTCGTCTTGAGACAGCCCTCACTCCATAACCCAGGCTGGCCTCTAACCAGGGGTCACAGGCGTGCACTACTATTTTCTGGACTTTTTGGGGGGTTCAAACTCAGAACCTTGTGCTTGCCAGGAAGGTGCTTATGCCAATGATCTATCTCCTGGCCCTTTCTGGACTCCTACAGATGGTTTTTAGAAGGTGCCAGGGGAAAGAGCTTTGTTTGCTTCTGTCAAAACGGGGGTGAGGGGAGAACTACCTACTCGCCAACCCCCCCCCCCCCTCAGGACAGGAGCTTTCTTTCTCTCAATAAATATATTCTGCTCATAACACACACACACAGAAAAATAAATAAATAATTTTTTAAAAAAGATCATTGGACAGAGACTCAAAGCTACACATCTACCCAAGAGAAAAATGCCTGTCATCTATCGAGGGCCTTTAGATAAAACCTCTGAAGAATATATCTGACTGCTAGTCAACAACTACGACCCATTTCAGCATGAAGAAGCCAGAGCGGTCTTCACCCATATTTCCCTTCACGGCAGTTCAGGTTACTTCTTCAGAGGGGGTAATATTGCAGGCAGCCGAGTTAGATAGAAATATTAGGGGCCGGGGAGATGGCTCAGTAGAATAAGCGCTTCCCGGCAAGCGCAAGGGCCTGAGTTCAATTCCTGGTTCCGCAAAAAAAAAAAAAAAAAAAAAAAAAATCTTAGATAGAAATATTATAGGCAGTCAGACAGGGCCAGGCCCTCGAAGGAGACGGCACAGAAGACCAGATGCCTTACAACTGCGGGAGGGGCGGATGCTCCTGCTGTGAACCAGACCTAAAGACCTAAAGGCCAAACAAATGCTAAAGGAGTAGCACCTGGGATTGATATTCTAAATAGGTATCCATCACCTGGAAAGACCCAAGTGAGTCACTAGCCCAACCCTCAAAAGAAGGAGACTCTGTCCCGCCTTCCAACCCCACCAGGAAAAGACCCTGTCCCCTATTCATGCCCGCTTGCTACGTGACTCGCTTTCCCATTTGATACTGGATTTAATCAGTTTTACCTGAGCAATGGTGTTTGCAATCCCATTGGTTGACCATAGCTTTGTCCCACCTCCTGCCCACCTAAGAGAGTTCCCATTCTCTCTACCTGAGCCCCACGTGGTTTTACACTATAAAAGTCCCTGGAAGAGACAGCTTCCTGGGGAACTACCTGCTCGGGCCCCCCCTCCTGTCTCTCTCTTGGACAGGAGCTTTCTTTCTCTCAATAAATATATTCTGCTCATAAAAATAAACAACAAAAAAAGGGGGTGAGGTCGCCGGGTGGGGTGGAGTCGGTGCAGCGTGGTGGTGCCACGATGGGCAGCTGAGTGAAATGGCGAGAGGAGCGAGCTCTCAGCAATGAAAGCAGCGGGAGACAAGGAACGTACTAGGGGCTTAGGCACAGGACCACACTCCAGGGTTCTACAATTGCAGGGAAACCTTAAACAGTTTTCAGAAACGCCACAGTAAATTAACAGTCTTGTTCTAAAGCTATTACAGGACTATGGGTAACTACTCTAAAACTACTGTTTAAAGACCCAGCTTAATATAGGGCTCTCCTGTTAACCTGCCACTGGGCCAAGCCCCTGAGGCACAAGAAGACTCTCAGGAGAGAAGACCAACTACAAAATCAAAGCAGGAGGGTCGAGGAGTAGCTCAGTGTGCTAAGTGCCTGCCTGGCAAGCATAAGGTCCTGAGTTCAATCCCCAGTACCTAAATCAATCAATCAATCAATCAATCAATCAATCAATCAAGGGCCGGCCAAAAAATTCAGCAGATTAAAATGCCTGCAAGCAGGTGCAGGGGCTGGGAGTTAGATCCCTGGGCCTGCCATGCCAGCACCAGCCCCACCCCCAGGGTGAGCTAAGATGGCAACTGAGACTGGGCGGGGTGGTGCCCGCCTGTAATCCCGGCTCCTGGGAGGCTGCAAAAGGCGGATCACCACGAGTCTGATCTGGTAGTGAGACCCTGAACACCCTGCAGATCCTTCTCTAAAATGCAGAAAAGTAAGTGAGCCGAAGTCTGCTGCTCTACAGTGCTAGGGACAGAACCTCGGGCCTCCGCTGGAGCCACCTGGAGCCCGCAGCCTAGCACCAAGCCTGGGGTCTCAGCTGCCAGCAACAGGAACCAAACCTCTGACACCTGCTGGCACAAAGTGGCCCGCCCCGCTCTGGAGACTGAACAAGGAGGTGTGAGACTGAGAGTCTACTATTCTGGAATCTGTCTATCACCCTAACTTCCTATTTATTCCATCTTTTCTGGGCAAATAAACAACAGAAAGATACACCTGATTACAGCTGCTCCACAGCAGCCCGAGGGGCACCCACCAGCAGCAGTGCGAGCGAGGGCAGCTGAGCCGGGGATGCAAGCACCGCAGACCACTGTGGGCTGCGCTTTCCCTGCGGGTCCCTGCGGGCGGGCACAGGACGTGATCTTGGCAGGGCTCATGCCACTACGGAAACACAAGTCTAGGGTCTGAGTGAACTGCAACCAGATTATGAGAAAAGTAATCTGGCACCCCTGTAATAAAACGACAAGGCAAAGCAGAGGGCTGGGATCAGAAGATAGGGAGACTGCAGAGTGTCACCTCCATGCCGGAGCTGACGGGCCTTTTCCACACCAACTGTGAGCAGCAATGGAGAAGGAGGGCAGGTGACTGGGAGGGACAGAGGGCAGGTGAATGGGAGGGACAGGGGCCCGTGAAGGGGTTCCCCAGCACTGTGCCTCTCGAGGTGTGGGACGACATCCTGGCTGTTTAGAAGTCACGTAATGAACCCTCATCTCCATTTTGCAGACTTCCAGGTCCCTGCCAGGAACAACTGGCTGCCCCGGTGGCTCGGACACTCTCACACGGAAGCCTAATCCAGAGACGGGGAAGCGCGCTTCCAGCCCCCTCCAGGCACGGCTCACAGCCAGCACTTCTGGCATGTCTAATCCACGGCGAGCAGCAGCACGACCTATGGACGGGCACTGAGGGTGCTGCCTCAGCATCTCCCAAGGATTCAGAGAGCCATCTGGGGCACAGACCACCTGCTGGCTAAGAATGTCCACGTCAAGTGCGGGCTGCGGCACAGCCAGGGGTCTGCCGGTCACTGGTTACTGGCACCTGCACCTCCTTCCTACAGGTGAACGCCAGGCAAGCAGGCCATCTGTGCAAGCTACGCACAGACAGCTCCTGCACTCACCCAGCGTGCAGCCTGCCCAGCACTGCCCTCTCCTGGCCTGCAGGGTGCAGACGTCAAAGGCAGCCCATCGCAGGCCTCACCGCATGCACCTGCAGAAGGCAGGGCCCAGGTGGCGCCCTGTTCCAGTGCTGTGGCCAGCAGTGGACGCGCTCTACCTACCAGTCCCCCAGGGCATGGCAGTGTGGGCTGTCATGCCAGCACACTAGGGCTGGGTCAGGGGGACTGTGAGGGGAGTCTAGCCCAGGCAACGCAGCAATTCATTAAGAACTCAGCTCAGGGGCCGGGGAGATGGCTCAGTAGAATAAGTGCTTCCCTGGCAAGCCCAAGGGCCTGGGTTCAATCCCTGGTTCCACCAAAAAAAAAAAAAAAAAAAAAAGAACTCGGCTCAAAATGCAAAACAAAGGACTGGGTTTGTTTCTCAATAAAATTATGGAAAAACAAATTTAAAAAAACACAACGGACTGGGGATGTAGCTCCCTGGGAAGGCCTTGGGCCTAAACCCTCATACAACAGTAAAACAAAAATGGGAAACCAATTACAAAAGGAGAGACCTGCCCGACAAAAACAGAAGTCCCGAATTCACTCCCAATCAACAGGAGGCACCATGGCTATTTCTTTGCCTACACTGAGCCACATTTTCTATGACAAAAACATCAACTTTGTTACTTGCATTAAAAACCCAGCAATCTCATAGTGGCTGCCTTCCACTTAGGGTGTCTTCATAGGGCTGTGGCGCCCTGTGGCCAGATGGTGTTTCAGCAGGTCTCAGTTCATCTCTGGCCCCGGAATCTGTCATGCGAGGGTCAGCGAGACCAAAGCTGAGCAGCGCAGCCCCCAGCACACCGCAGAGCCGAATGTGCCTCGGCAGGCTGCCGGCTTCTTACTGCCATAGAGGAAAAAATCCACATAGCAAGGCGGGGGCGCAGCTCAACAGCACAGCGCCTGCCTGGCACGCAAGGTCCGGAGCTCAGTTCCCAGAGCCAAAAACCAGACACGTGGCACGTAATGTATGGTAAAGTACCTTTTTCCAATTATGGTTTCTATGGTACTTTAATTGTCATGAAAGTATTGGAACACGGACTAAAGGGGGGCCAGGAGATATTGCTCCATGGCATGAGCACCTGCCTGCCAAGCGTGCAAGGTGCTGAGTTTGATCCCCGGTCCTGCAAAAAAGGGAAAGAAAAAAAAAAGAGCAGACCAAAGAGAACCAGCAATCACAAGCCATGATTTACCCCGCGTGCTCTGAACACGGGGCCCAGCAGCTTCCTCCACCGTCTGAGTGAACGGATGGACACAGAGCTGCCACATGTGTGAGACGGCCAGAGCCCTGGAAGCAGGCTTGTGTTGCTGGTGCGAGTACCAGCACACAGAAGCCTGGGCACGCTGCTGTGAAACGCCTTCCTCCCTCTTCTCGTTGTTGATACAAAACACCTGATGCTCAGAGCCAGGAGCGGGGAGGTTTATTTGGCTCCATTTTGTAGGTTTCAGGTCATCAGCGGTCAGCTCCCAGGCAGGGCGGCCTGGTACTGGGCCATCAAAGGGCAATAGCTCGTGGCGGGCAGATGGCAGCAAAGCCAGAGAGAGACAAAGAAAGCCTTTCCGTCCTTTACATTGTGTGTAGGCTCCAGGGCTTAGGACAGTGCTGGAACAGTCTGTAGATTTGGTTTTTTTCATCAATCAATCAATCAATCACTCTATCTATCAGTCACAGGTGCTCACTAGCAGCTCTGACTCGTAGCGATCCTTCCATCTCAGCCTCCCCAGCACAAGCGCCACCACACCCGGTTTTGGGGCCAGCACAGCATGTGGTATTACAGACTGAACCCATGTCCTTGCACTTTTCAGGTAGGCACTTAGCCCAGTCAGTACATTTTTGTTTTTATTTATTTATTTATTTATTTTGGGGGTGGCACGGAACTGGGGATTGAACTCAGGCCCTTGAGTTTGCCAGGCAAGCACTTACTCTACTGAGCTATCTCCCAGGCCCATGTTTTTCTTTTGGACAGTGTCTCACTGAGCGACCTTCCTGCCTTAGTCTAAGTGCTGGGAGTATGGGTGTGAACCACCAGGCCTGGCTCCCAGCAGTGGGCTGGTTTAGTCATCAGCAACCCTTAATCCTAGCACCCTTATCCTAGCATTGCACCGTGGGTCAGTCACACACTCTAGATCCAGTTCCACCTATGACCACACGAGGATTAAGGGGACAGCTAGACACAGCCCTAACAGCGGTGTGTTTCAATGTTTCCTTTATCCTTCCTCTTTTAACTGTATCTAGTACAGGGCCTACAGAGTCTCACTACATGGGTCGGACTCACAGTGATTGTCCTGTTTTCAGCCTCCCAAGGCTGGGATAACAGGCTCACTCACTGTCTCAGTGCGCCCCAGGGGTGGGGTTGGCGGCAGGCTGGAGATCAAGCCCAGGCCCTGCATCTGCCTAGGCAGGCACGTTAGTCCACTGGGCTATCTGGCCAGCCCTCTCAATGTTTCCTTCAGAGTGCTACCATCCAGTACTTGGTTTCAGGGGTGAAAACATGAAGCGCTTCACCACAATCTGGTGCCAGGTACCATCCCAGGCACAATTAAAGACAGTATAATGGGAATTTGCATTAATTCAGAGTGAGAGAAATTAGCAATTTGTTACATGGCCTGATGGTAACTTAACAATTTTCCACAGCACTGTTCTGGTCTTTTGTCTGTAACAAGCACATTTACTAAACACATTAAAGCTGAACTGGCTTTAGCAAATGCCACCCTTCCTCAACAGTCGGGCACCACAGAGTCCAGCCTGCCTGCTGGCCGACTGCACCCAGGACCCTCCAGGCCCTTTTGCAGCGTGGGCCCTGGCACCACCTGGGTAGGCTTTCCCAACCCGATGTCTAACACAACCGCTGCAGAACCATCAGATCACCTCCTGTGTGCATCAGCTCACTGAAAATAGTCCAACCTGCTTCTTTTTTTAAACATTTATTTATTTAGTGTGTGTGTGTGGCCAGCTCAGCCCACCAGGGGGTGGGGCTGGCTGGCATGTGGTGCTGGGGGATCGAACTGCGGTCCCTGTGCTTTGCCAAGCTTTTTCCAAGTAGGTGCTTTAGACCACTGAGCCATCTCGCCAGCCCCGCAACCTGCTTCTGAACATCCAAAAAATCATCTTCAGGGGCTGGGGGGATGGCTCAGTGGAATAAACACTTCCCTGGCAAGCGCAAGGGCCTGAGTTCAATCCCTGGTTCCACAAACAAACAAACAAAACATAAAAAATCATCTTCAAGCACGCCAAGTCTGTTGGGGCTACTCAGGATGCCTGGCACCCCATCCAAGACATCAGCCTTCAGGTGGCACTCAGGTGGGCCCTGACCAGCTCTCTGGGCCCAGCATGGCTTTGGGAGGAAATGCCAGCCATGACATCCCAAGGACCAAGGTCTGAGACAGACGGCTCAGGGGCTGTTCTCACCACAGGGCAGGAAGGGCCGAGCTGCTGGTGCCCAGGAGCATGGCAGCGCCTTCCGTGGTTGCTCCCTCAGTGCAGTAGGGGAGCTGCTGACCCAGCTAAAGCCTCCAGCTCTGGCTGCAGTGCTGGCTCCCCCTAACCCGAAGCTCCCTCTTCTGTGATGCCCGAGGTCACCTTCTGGTGGATGGTGCTAGCTCTCCTCTTCTGAGCTCAGGGAAGCTCCAGAAAGGATTCGGGTTCCACTGCACCACGAAATGATGTCATCTGGCAGAAGGTGACATTCCCAGGCCCCTCACTTGCTGGCCTGACAAGCCTGGCAAGGGGGGCCCTGCAGCACACGGCGCCTTCTCCACATGGCGTTGTCAGAACTGCTCCTGGGCACAGTCCCGTGTGCTGTGCTCACCACAAGCGCCGAGTTCCAGGGCAGCGTAATGAAGGCATCACCTGCCTGCTGCAAGCCCACTTGTTCATGGTGCCACTCACACCCTGGCTCTGGGCTTTCAGGCCCCAGCCCACGCCTGCCTTCAGCCCTAGGCAGCCCTGCCCATTCTCTGGCCCGTGGGCTTCTGCATCACGCAGTCCCGCACTGTGCTCCTGTCACTCCCACGTAGCAGCAACCTGCTCTTGGCGCTTTGTGTGTGACGCCTGTGACCAGCTGGTGACACGCGGACGGTCACAAGGACACTGCAAACAAGCAGGGTCCTCTGTTGTAGGCAATCTTGGAGTCGAGCCACTCTGCGACACTTAGGGCCCTGCATGTGCCATGCAGCGCAGCTCTGGCTGGACCCAGAACAGGGAGGACAGACTGCGTCCGGCACATGAGACAGCTGACTCGGTGCAGCACATCTCTGAACACCTGCAGCACCAGCACGGAGGCCTGCAGTGAACCCCACCCGGCGGCTTCGTTCAGCCGCTGAGGGCTGGGAAGTGGCCCCACTTTTCTCTGCTGCTTTTTTGTGGCACTGGGACCAAATGTTGGGCCTTACACAGGTACCAAGAGCCTAGCACTGCTCTCCCCCTCGAAAGCTCAAGGAACACTGAAGTTGCTGGGCCACAGGCCCACACACAAACTGTGAACCAGAGTCCACAGTCAGCTGAGCAGAGAGAGATCACTTCATTGTGGTTTTTAAGACATTTCCTGGGCTGGAGAGATGGCTCAGTGATCTAAAGCACCTACTTGGAACAGGCTTGGCAAAGCACAGGGACCACGGTTCGATCCCCCAGCACCACATGCCAGCCAGCCCTGCCCCCTGGTGGGCTGAGCTGGCCACACACACACACACAATAAATAAATGTAATAAATAAAAAAATAATAAATAATTAAAAAAAAAAAAAAAAAAGACATTTCCTAATTTTCTCTCCCTGAGACAGGATCTTGCTACGTAGTTCAGGCTGGCCTGGAACTATGTAGCCCAGGGTGGCCTGGAACTCATGGTAACCCTCCTGCCTCAGCCTCTTGAGTGCTGGGATTACAGGTGTCCACCACCATGCCCAGCAAGACTGTTTCTATTTTTGAGAACTATGTGCTGAACTACCTAGGAAATAAAAAAACCTAGCATCGGGGCCAGGGAGATGGCTCAGTGGAATAAGCGCTTCCTTGGCAAGCGCAAGGGCCTGCGTTTAATGCCTGGTTCCACCAAAAAAAAAAAAAAAAAAAAAGAACTTAGTATCTTTTTTTTTCCCCCTGGCACTGGGCATTGAACTCAGGACCTCATGCTTACCGGGCAGGTGCTTATGCTGCTGAGCCATCTCCCTGGCCCCTAAATGCGTACCGCTATGAATGTGGAGAGTGGGAGACCAAGTATGCTTTGCCAGAAGTCAACACTGGTCACAGTGGATGCAGAAGTTCTCCACCCAATTCTTGCAACTTATTGGCATGTTTAAGGGACCTTGCAAGCAGAAAGAGTTCATTTCACTTAGAAACGTACAGCTTGGTTGAAGGTGAGTGCACACCGGTGAGGGTCACCAGCACAGGTAGCGCACACGCTAACCTGGGCTGGCACTCTCCTCTATCACTGTGCATGCATTTTCTGTGGACAGAGCTTCACTGCACAGCCTGGGGCAGCAGACGCCCCACCCCCACGCTGCTGCCTGGCAGTCGCCCAGCCAACGGTTCTGGCTCCAGCTCCTGGTACTTCTGTTTCTTGGCGATGCACATGAGAGAACCACCCCCGAGCGATGGGCCACTCGGCCTCCGTACTTCCTGCCTGCCTACCCACAGAAGCCCTAGGCTGCAGACATCAGGGCCTGCTATTTCTGAAACGATCCCAATTAGTGCCTGTGATGTAAATAAATCTGGCTCCACATCCTGGGTGTCGCTTGGCATCTGCTTCTACACTGTGCTGCAGCCGAGGCTGGCCTCACACTGGAAGCGATCCTCCTGCTTCCCACGAGCTGGGGTTACAAACGTGTACCACTATGCCTAGTTCAGGATGAATACGTATTTTATTTTCCTTTATTTTATCTTTTGGTACTGGGAACTGAACTCATAACTTCGTTCTTGACAGGCAGGCACTGTGCTGCTGAGCTCTATCCCCCACCCAGTACTTCTTAATTTATAATGAATACAGAAATATGAAAGTATTTAAATACTTAAAAATTAAAATATTAAGGGACTGTAACAGTCCCTTAAGCAATTTAATTGCTAAAAATAAGCCAAGATATATGAAATCAACATTAATTTTCAGAAGAAAATAAGGTTAGGCAACACAAGTGACAGGACAAAACTCACCTTCTGCTCAGACAGACTTCACGGACAAAGGGAAGGGTCAGGGCATGGGGAGGGCGAGTTAAAGAGGACTGGAAATGCTGGAGCTGTGCTGCAAGCAGGCATCAGCTCCCCAGACGAGCGTCAGCAGCACACGCACGCACGGTAACGCGCCCTGACGAAATGCCTTCTGCTCACAGGCACAGGTCGGGGCGCAGACAGCTGCTGCAAGATGCACTGTGGGCTCAGAACACCCAGGTTGCCTTCCTGACTACCTCTCCTTGCACAGCGCCCTGGCAGCCATGGCACCAACAGGCAAGGCCCAAGGACAGGGAAAGCCAGGTGCCACGCCTCAGGCCTGAGGCCCAGTACACACCCACCCACCAAGAAAACCACACCAAGAAGCGCCAGGACTGTGACAGACAGACCACAGCTACCGAGGACTTGTTTCTTTGTTTAAAGCAAATGGCATGAAATTGTGTACCTTAAAACCCAAGAGCGGGGGCCGAGAGCAACTTGTTACAAACTTCAGCAATTTGCGCTTTTCTTCATCAGTGAAACCTTCTACAACTCTCCAGAAGATTTTAATGACAGGATGATCAGCAGAATATCCTCCTATAACAGAATAGACACACGTTTATTATAAAGATAAATACATGAAGCAGGATTCCCTTACGAAGTCCAAGGCAATGGGCTGGTTTGCCTGTGCCTGTTGTGGTGAGGCAGGGAGCTGTGTGTGGGTCAGCTCTCCAGGACGCCTGACCCAGCCCCTGGTAGGTGACAGGCCAGAGCTGGGGCACTGGGCTTACAGGGCCACCACTGGGAAAGAAGGTGCTGCAAGGCACCTGGTTTTAAGAACTATGTTAGGGCCGGGGAAACGACACAGTAAAATAAATGCTTCCCTGGCAAACACAAGGGTCTGAGTTCACTCCCTGGTTCTACCAAAAAAAAAAAAAAAAAAAAAAAAAAAACTGTTAGTGGGCTGGGGATACAGCTCAGCGGCTTTAAAAGCTGGCTGGCATGCACAAGGTCCTGAGTTTGATCCCCAGCGTGCGTGCACGCGCGCGCGCACACCCACACACACACACACACACACACGAACTATGTTGGAAGAAACAGCTTAATCTGTGGCCAACACTTCTAAGAAACAGACCGGGGAGTTTCTGTATTCTAGTGCAGTTCCATATTTGCTCACTACAATCTTGGGAGTCTATGATAATTTTATCACCTCTCCATGATAATAAGGCCAATGACCAGCCCCACAAGTGATCAGAACACTGTTTGGAAATGTAGTATCTGCACTTATAGCTTTTAATCTCCTTAAGTGCTTCCTAAAACTAAAATAATTGCTATATATTGTTCCCCCATTGTTAATACACTACAGAAATAACATCAATAAAATATCCTAAGTGCATTAATAGGCACCAAAATGAATGACAATATTTTAGTCCTATTTACTGGAACAGCTAAGATCATTAAAGGTATAAGCTTTCAGTGCACCCAGGATAATGCAAACACCCATGACAATTTCTTGGCAAAGGCAAGGTAAGACTGATTTCATTTTCTCAAACTTATGACTATCAAGTAGGGACAATGTGACCTTAGGTGTTATTTGCCTTCACATAAGAATTACAGTTTATAGCAATGCAGATTAACTACACTTGCACATAACTGTACACACACAGAGCCACAAAAGTGATTTTTTAACAAATTAAGACTTTTACAGCCATTCGCAGAGCCCAGGTTTTCGATGTTTCCTCAGATACCACCTTGATCCCACAGGCACCACTGATGTGTCTCTGCAAACCTGCTTCCCAGACGTTCCTATCTATACAAAGCGTTCTCTAACAGCAACCTGAACAGTTTCCCTTTTCCTGTGGCACAGTTCTGGCTGTAAAATCCAGTCCTCCGCCTCAGTACGTGCACAGAGTGGGGGAGCCGCCTCCTCTCACACACTGCCCAGGTGCTCTGCCCGCTCTCCTAGCAGGGTCGGCTCTGCTCTCTCCAGCCCCGGTCTGCACACTCCTGGGAGCATGTGGAGCGCGACTCCCCCTTGGGCTCGCCTGCGCCTGTCCCTTCGTGTCCGCCTGTTTTGCTCAGCACTGTTTTCCAGCCATCCGCAGCACCAGGACCTCCTCCTGCCTAAGGCCGCGTGATCCTCAAGCACACGTGCGTCTATCCGCTGCATCTTCTGGCTCCTGTGAGCACTGCTGATACGAGTGAGGTGTGCCTGCTTTCAGTTCCTCTAGGGTTACACACAGGGACAGGGCTGCCAGATTACAGAAGTCTGTTTAGGCTTTTTCTCCTCCCTTTTTCCTTTTCTCAAGACACAGTCTTGATTTATAGTTTGGGCTGGCCTCAAACTCACTAGGTAGCCGAGGATGGCCTAGAACTCATGGCAGTTCTCCTGCCTCGGCCTGAGTGCTGGGATTTTCCCTCTTTTTATGAGGGTGTGTGTGGGTACTGGGAACTAAACCCAGGGCCTTTGCAATCAGTTACATGTAAGCCCTTTTGTTGAGACGGGGTTTCAGCTGCTAAGCTGCCCAGGCTGGGCTCATACTTGTGAAGCTCCTGCCTCAGACTCCCAGAGTGTCTAGGGTTAGAGGCCTTTTCCTTTCTTTCTACATGGTGCTAGGGACCAAGTCCAGGGCCCTGCACACACGAGACCAGCACTCTAGAGGCACTGAGCTACACCCCAAGACCAGGCTTAGTTTACAGACGATCCAAACTGCTTTCTGCAGCAGCAGCACCACCTTATAATCCCACAGCCATGACAGAGGTCCCACTTTCCCCATCTCCACTTGCCCTACCACTTCCTGTTTAGTAACAGCCACCCTCAGGGTGAAGTGGAGCTCACTGCGGTCGTGGCCTATTTGCTTGTCCTACTGATCCGCAGTGCGGAGCATCCTCACTGTCCCTGTCTCTGGGTCTGCCCACTCGAGCCACTCCCCACCCACACCCCACTTAGTGGAGACAGGGTTTTGTGATCTGATCGAGTGTATTCTTTTGCCTAATGCACTCTGGGGACGCGCTCCATGCCGTGCACGCTCTGCCCAAGCACCCTCTCTGTGGACTACTCCTCACTGCTCTTAAGTCTGTTCTTTTTTGCAGTCCTCAGGAGCGCTTACTCTACTCAGCTATCTCCCTGGCCCACTGTTTCCAAGTCCAATGAGGTCAGTTTTTCTTTTATCACCCATGCTTTTGGTGTCATTCATAAGAATTCATCGTCAATTCCAAGTCATCAAGATTTGTTTTCTCCTATGCAAAGCATGGTTTCAGTTCGGAGTTACTTTTGTCTATGGGGTGAGATGGGAACAGCTCCACTCTGCACAAATCCAATGCTCTACGTTCAATGTAACACAG